CACATATTTTCACTGCTCAGATGTTAGTCTGCCACTTTAAAAACAATTAAGTTTGTAGATTTAACAGTACAAAATGTAAAGAATAATAAAGGAGTATGAGGAATACTTTTCATTTGGTCTGTGATTCAGTTTAAATTGGATAGTCTCTATAATCGTCCTAATTTTTCATCCACTAACCTGACCTGGGCTTCTTCACTAACTACACATTTAATGGAGGCTGGCGAGACTAAATCAATACAAAGATCTTTACAGCATAGAACATGACTTGAAGAGACATGAAGTAATCTAAAACGGCAAAATACTGCTGATGTTCAGATAATCTTTTAATATAGTGGCTGAAATGAAAGTAAAGTCAGACTTTTTGTCTTTTGTCTCTTTTGAATGGAAATATCTCATTTAAAAAAGAAAAACCCAGAGATAACTTATTTTCTCTACTCTATTTTTAGCCAACCTTCATTTGCTACAATACTATGTTGTTGTTATGCTGTTATGTTATTTCATAATTAAATGTCTAAACAACTAACAATAAATATTAACCAAGCTAGGAAAATAATCATAAATATCTCTACTTGTGAAAAGTCATAAGATTAGGCCAATTTGCACTAAGAGAAAAATATGATCAAGCTTTGATCTAGTTGTTTTATTTAAACCAAATTTTCTCTTTTTTTCAAGCTCTTAACTCTATGTATGAAGCTAAAGAATTTCTGTAATAAAAAAAAAAGAAAAACAAAATCAAAATGGTACCATGTTAATCAGTAGTAATCCTCTCAATTCCAACCACTTTTTACCTGACAGCTCTACTTTTGTTTACGCACAAAAAGGGCAAACTACACCATCATCTGCAAGTTCTAATTACTACCACTGTGGAAAAAAATAAAAATAAATTTTTTATGGTCTAAGATCATCACAATTAAGCTTGGGATTAGTTTAAACCTGTGGTCTTGCCTGAAGAAAACCATACATCAATGAATCTCTGCATAGAAGTTAAATCCATGATGGTAATACTGATTACAGTAAAAAAAAATACAGCTAGGTTTACTGGACCAATGGAATAGCATGACTAAGTAAGGTGATGGAAATGTTATTTGGACACTAGTTCATAGTACCAATTTTATGGGAGCATAAACGCAACACTGCCCTACTTTTCCATTACAAGGTGTTACAATGAAAGACTTCTAACTCATCTAATACAGTGATATTAAATGCAGTATCCAAAGAGTTTATCAGATGCCAATAAACAACAGACATGTAAAAATATAAAAGGGCTTTATTACACATGTAACTTAGACAAACAAGATACGGCTGAACAGATTTCATAACGGAACCGCTGAAAAGCATTAACCATAACAAACACCAGTCATCAGAGACACATGGTGGGAAAGCTTATAAGAACCAGAATGAGAACTTTGAAGGAGAGTCTTTTGTTTCAGTGTGCAGAGAGTTGGTCCAAATTGTCATGGCTGCGACTGGTCAGGTGGTTCTCCAGAATTTCTCCAAACAAATTCCTTTTCAGTAAGTTGTAAGCCATTGGTAGAAGCTGCTTGACTACCTTGTGAAAGTACTGGAAGAAAAGAAACAAAATGAACAACTGATTGCAGTCCATGTCTAAAAACATTTGTCTTTATGTTGTGTCAGAAACATAATTATGTTTTGTGTTTTTTCTTTTAAGTGAACAACCTTCTAACTGGAGGTAAAAGATTACTACAAAGGGTTATTGCTCGAGACTCACATGGGAACCATAACAGAAGAGGTCTATTCCAAGTTCATAGCCCATTCCATAATCGCACTCATCGTTTGCAAACTGAACAAACGTGATCATCTCTTGGATCGGTCCAAAGGCCTTGATGCGTTCTTCATCGTTTCTAGCTTCGACAATGGCTTTGCAGATCTTCTTGAGAACGGCTAGTAAAAAGAAATATATTTTAAGTTCACATAAGAAAAAAAAAGAAATGGCCAAAACTCCAGAGGGAAATTGGGCTCACCGTCTGTTTCTGGTAATTCTCTGTACCCTACATCATTCTTGTCAACAGGCACAACGATACCAGCACCATGGAAGGTCTTGGTAACCACCTTTAGTCCAAAAAAATATGTAGATGTTAATAGACTAAACCAAACATTTTAATATAGGGATCAGATTATGATTATGCTTCCGTTTTAATTATGTTATTTTTCTTCAGAAAAGACTTGATTTATTAGTAACAATGATTAGCTGTGTTTGTAATTATTCGACTGCAACCATAGTCCACTGCTAAAAAAAGGATTTACGTACACTTTTAAATACTTATCATTCCCACAATAATGCAAAACAGGATATATATATATATATATATATATATATATATATATATATATATATATATATATATATATATATATATGCTTGTCAGTTTGGCTTTGTAACTAATACAAATCCCTGTTTCCTGAAAAGGGAGGACCAGATGGCAAACGAACAAAAAAAAACAAACAAAACAATATGATAAAAATCAGAATGTGCACGACAGAAGGAAAAGCATCTGATGAAGCAGACGGATTTTAATGATTAGGTCAGTGATGATGTAGGGTTGAGGAAACCAGTTTCTTCAACCCTTTGGAAACTGTATTAGAGAAATTATTTTGTTCATTTAAAGTATCTGGATTTCCCTAAAAAACTGAATTAAATTTTCATCCTTGAGTTGCTGCAAAGAGACTATTTCCAGTAGTACTACAATAAATTTGGACTAACACTCAAGTCGTCTGGGATCCATAAATAAATAAATAGAACTTACAAGTGGAAGAAGGAATGATGGGAAAAAAAGAGGGAAATAACAATACAAAGTAAAAAAATAAAAGAAAGGCAGGAGGACACTGTTGGTATGGAATAAATTGAAAGAAAGTAAGTAAGTAAGAAAGAAAGAAAGCCGGATGGATGGCAAGGAAAGAAGTCAGTTGTATACAGCATTTAGGAATCAAGCTTAAAAGAAAAAACACATTTTCGAGTTTTTAAAGAAACCATGTCTGTCCATCACCTTTTTGTCCCGCTCCTTCATGCCTTTGGTCTTCTGCTCTAAAGAAAAGCCTAAAGCCTCTGCCTTGTTTCTCAGCTTTGACTCCAAGCTTTCCAAAGCTGTCTCCTTTGCTGTCTTACTGCTCCTCTCTTTCTTTTTCCTCAGCAAATACAGGCTAAAATGAGAGCATAGGTAGGAAGAGTCATTCACAGAGAGAGAGAGAAAAAGTCACAATTCTTATTCCTAACCGATCATGCCATGTAGTGTTTAATACTCACTAGACAGCTGCAAAGATGTTATCTCCCATCTGGGTTATGCTGCAGCTCTTCTTAGCTTGATTTTCCCCAACAAATGAAGGGAGGGAGTCTGGAGTATCTCTGACATGTTTGAACAATTCAAATAATTAAAACCTGTCTGGCTCATCGGTCTCACTTTAGTAAAATTATTATTTTCTGGAAGGCTGCAGGACTTTAATAACTTTAGCTGTATACCTGTAGTAGCCCATGTGGTGCTGGGTGTCCTCGCTCCCTTTGAGCACAGTCTGAAACTCGGGAGGGTCATAGAAATACCTCCAATGAAGGTGGAAGTTGGGGTGAGGATTCTTAGCGTTTCTGTGATCTCCGGCCAGAATGTCGAAAGGCCCGACCAACTGTAGACCCAGAGGGTCTTTCAGGGCATCTAAAAGGGTTTGAATGGAGACAATTAGCATAGGAAAAAACTGGGGGGGGAAATTATTTTTGAAATGTATACACATATATACTTAAATATAGTTATAATCAGTGGCGGCTGGCCAATAGAGGGTGCTAGGGTGCCGCCCCACACCCAATGACCCTGATTAAGACATAAAAAAAAAAATAAATATATATATAT